GATATACTCAAGTTCCAAATTCTGAAAATATTCTAATATACTACTCGAATCCTAAACTTATTAACAGCCTTATAGTAGGCTACAAAAACCTATTTTGGTATAGTATTCCACTCTCCTATCAACTTTGATGACTAAAATGTTCATGCAATTTCTACTATCTATCCATCTTATAGCTACCTTTAATCTATCTCAGTCACATACAAGAATAACCATACCACAATCAAACTAATAGTCATTTGAAACTGGTCATGTTCAGGGACTTTAAACACTAAGAATAATCTCTTCCTACCCGTTAAACAACCTTTCACTACTACTAAAAAGCTCTTTGTCCTAGCAAGGGGACTGGCAGCTAATACATGTAGCTTATGAAATGTTTATACACAGATTGCAGAAAATTATAAATTTGTGTTTTAGTAAGCATAATTTTTCAGCTCAGACAACAGAGACTTCCTAGAAATATTAGTACTCTAGGACCAATGATTATACTTAATACCCTAACCTTAATTTCTTATACTTTCCAGGTAAAGAGATCTAGTGTTCCTTAGTTCTCTAAGGCTTAGGCAGAGAAATGCAAGCTGAGCCTGAAACACTTTTTTGGTGGAAAAAACACCTACAAAAGTACAGAGATGTGGCAGAGGGCACAAGAGCTAACCTAGCTAACTTAAATGAGAGTTCTCAATGGTCAAATCTGTAGCCCTGTTGACACAATGGTTACACATCAGGCTGCTAACCAAAAGTTGCTAAGCGTCGGCATCAGCTCAATAGCAGTAAGAGAAAATGACCAATCCTAAGACAATTTGCAGTGGAAAAGAAATATAATGTAATGAATCATAATTCAAAGAATGAAACAAGAATACATGTATCCATAATGGTAAGTAAACAAAATATAAATATCTGAATTGAGCTCTTTTTCACAGCAATATGCATCAATTCCAATACATACAGAAGAAATAATGAAAACAGAACAGCTAACATTCAGTATAAGAATTTGGGGGGGGGGCACAGGCAAAAATCATAAATGGACATTAAAACCAATGTATGATGAGAAACGCCTATGATGAAGAGGCTATTTACAAAAATCTCAGAGTATCCTCTCCACAAGATACCTAGTAGAAAGGTTTAGCTAGAGAAATTTGGCAGATACCACCTAAACCAAGTGATCAAAGTTAATATCACCATATGCTTTGTGATATGAACCAGTAAGGATATGCATCAATTTTGTGAAATTCTTGCCCCAAAAATGTACAATGTGAATTCAATAAGGAAACATCACATAAACCTAAATTGAGGGACAATCAGCAGGTTAGTGGTCTTAAATTAAAGAAGATAAAGATATAATAACTAAATAAAATGTGTAGTCCAAGATTAGGTGCCGGACCAGGTAAAAGGGCATCGGTGAAGCAACTGAGGGGAAAAAAAAGTTTTAAGTCTTCAGATGAGATAATAATGTTTTATCGGTGTTAATAACATGGATTTTATACCTGTACTGTTAAAGATGCTAACATTTGAAGAATTTAGCTGAAGGGCACGTATTATTTTTATGAATACTCTAGAAGTAAAAAAAGAGGCTGGAAACTTGACTATTGGCTGAATTATACAAAGAAAACTGTAAATATATACTTGGAACACAAAAACACTCAAATCATTTAGCATTAATACATTTCTCAAAGTTTATTAAACTTACTGAGTCCTTCTGAATCATTCATTTAATAAATGTCTTAATGTTTACAGTGTGCCTACTATGACCCAACAAGCAGAAAAGGATGGAAGAAACAAGAAAAGCAAGTGAACAAGCCCGTTAATTATTCATTTACTAACAGATTCTTTACAAAACTAATATTAGGTACTTAAAATATGCTTGCACCATTTATTTGTAAAAACTGGCTAGTTTTAACCAATGTATCGAGTTGTGAAGATTAGACCAGAGTGCATAAAATTGTAACATAGTAGTTGCTGAAAAATAATTATATTCTCTAACTTTTGTAGGATCCTGTTACAGTGTAGCTCAATAACTTTTACTAATCTGTTGCATTTCCCACGGAAGCTATTTGTTTCATTTATCTACATATTTTTCAAAATAAATACGCATACTATATGCTATATAGTATGAATATATACTATATTCATTCTAACTGCTTGAGTACATGCAGAGAATATACATTAACTCTCATCTATTCCAACAACAGATTAATATTTCTAACAGTTTTTCCAAATACTTAAATATTGCAACCAGGCTAAAATCAAAGTCAAGAGCCATTATCTTGCTCTATGTTGCCATCTATTGCCTATTACCACATACTTCAGGTACATCTTTCTATTTTGGAAACTTAAGTAAGACTTAAAACACAAGCGTCAATCTAGTGGATTTATTTAATGTCTGGATTCTTGTCCTCCTTGAATAACATGGCCAAATGTCTACAGAATTGCAGAACTTTTTTATCCAACATGACTTAAAAATATACAGTTGACAATGTATATTAACTAGGCTCTCTCTTTTCCTGTTTTCCATTATAGGTGTTATATTAGTTGTCAAGGATTTGATAACTTTACTTGGATTAACAATAACATATACAGAAAATCAAATGGCATCTTGCACTAGGAAAATATGCTGCAAAAGATCTCTGTAAAGTTTAAAAAGCAAAACTGTTACTTTCAGGAATAAGGTGTTCCTGTTGAAGCCATGGGATTTTTCAATCACCTCCTATGCATAGGAAAGCTGGGCAATGAGTAAGGAAGATGATGAAGAAGAAGCCTTTGAACTACGGTGTGGCAGAAAAATATTAAACAAACAATGGACTGTAAGGAGAATGAACAATTCTTTTTGGAAAAAGTATAGCAAAAATGCTCCTTTCCTTTAAAGGGTCGATGATGAGATTTCTTCTCACACTATTTTGAACATAATGTTCTCGTTTGCTAAAGTTTACAGTATCAAAAAAGAGGAAGAACCTCAACAAGATGGACTGTCACAGTGGCTACAACAATGGGCTCAAGTATAGCAACAACAAATGATGGTATAGGATGGGCAGCATTTCATAGTCTGTTGGTTAAAGGATATAAAGAGTCAACTCCACATCACCTAATAGCTATAACAAGCAGTTCTCTATTGACTGACAGGTAGTACAGTGTATAATGGAGAAAATCCATTTTGCCAGAAATTAGCTGATTTGTAAAATGGGAATATTCTTTATAACCAAGTAGACCAACTAAACTCAAAACTTAAAATGGCAAAAAGTTATTTTTAAACATTTACAAGGTACCATGATTTACCTCATAATACAGCAATGGGAAAACTCTTAACCATATAATAAGAATGTATTGTACTAAAATAGCAAATATAAATAGCGCCCCAATTTTAATGGGGAACAGGAAGTCATTCATCTAGTCTAACCAAATTCCCATTAAATGCCTTGCTTAATAAATAGCCACATACCCCATTCCCTACTCCTACACATATACACAGTTAAAAATTATGAACCTCACACCTCACTGGCAGTTTACCTCAAAACAAAGCTGTTTAATTTTATGGTTTCATTTTTCAAATCACATTGAATTAAATTTCAAGATCATTTTCTCATTAATTCAATGAAAACAGATCACCCCTGAATATAACTGTTGAAACAGATTCTTCATGTTTAAAAAGAAAAGGAAAAGATGCCACAAAACAAAAGCATTACAAAGCTCTTGACATTGGTTACATGTTGGCACTCCGATTTTAAAGTAACTAGACAACTTGGTAAATAGTCATATACTAGCTACATTCAGGGCTACAAAGAAGGAGATTGCATGGTCCACAACCTTCAGAAGTTGGCAATTTATGTAGCGAATATAAGATTTAAACGTAGAAAAGATGAATGAAATAAGTAAAATATTCATTGACAAAAAACTGGTAAAGCTCAGACGTCCACTGAAATATTTAGAGTTGAAACAGTTAAAAGAGCTTACAGAAATTATAAAAATAGAGTTTCCCATTAATAGGAAAGGTAGGCCTAAGACTGGAACAAGAGCAAGGGTCTTTCAAGTTATGAGGAACAGTAAATATACCATTGGGTAGGCCAAAGAGTAGTAAAATCATGTTTAATACATGTATACGAGACCAATTTAACAAAAGAAATTGTGCAGGAGACACCACTAGAAAGTGAAGTGGACTGAATTGTAAAGAGACACTAAAGCTGAGAGCTGGGCTACAGAATCTAGATAGTAAAAAAGTCACCGACAACCAAGTGCCGTACAATGTTGCCACACAGTCTGAGGAACAGAAGTGGGCTTAACCTAGTAGGAGTGCTTAACAAACTGGGAAACGGAAATACACACACACACACACTCTCTCTCTCTTTCTCGCTCTCTGAATTAAGGTGACTATATCATGTTATTTTGGCAGTCCGGGAATAATGTCAAACACCTAAACTATGCTGATGATTATGAAATTCATTATGAGGAATGAATTGACAGAATGAGATCAATGATTTGAAATTAAAAGTGTGCAAGGATAAAGGAAGAATCAAAATGTTTCCAAAGCTTAAAACTAGGAACAGAAGTACCGCAAACAGAAACATAACAGTAAAAACTATTGTTTCCAACAATAGTTTTGTTCTTAATGATTAATACAAAGCAATAAAATAGGAATCCAAAGACACTACCACTTTTTTAGGTGAATATAAGCAGTGTTCATTCAAAATATGAAAACATTACATTGACATTATCTGCATCTTATTCTAAAATATAAACCATAGTTCATCATAAATCTACATGAATTACCATCAGTTTGAAACCTAGTTAATTAATCTGCCTTGTGAACTGGATCAATAAACCAATGCATGCTGGGATTTACATTACTCAATAGAAATAACAAAATGAAAAGTTTAAATTACAAAACTATTACTCCCTTTTAAAGTAAATATGGAATCATATCTTCTTCCAAATCCTACCAGCAAATCCCTTAAAACCAAAAACTTAAAAATACTATGAGTGCCAAGGTTTTTTTTTCAAAGTCTCTTGGTTACCTTTACTTTATCTCTTCTCAAGCAACAGAATAGACAGTTTTCATCAAAAGTCCAATCAGAAATGCTTTCAGGTTCACAGTCTACAAAGTAAAAGAAATAACAAATTAGTTGCCAAAAACACCATTTCAGAAAATCAAAAACATCTTCAAAAAAGTGCTTGTTTTAACCAAAAATATTTGTATCCCACAAGTTGTAGACCAGTTCCTTATTTGTCTTAAAATTCTTAGTTCTGTACATCGTGCTAGTTTTCATAAATACAGCTTTAAGCTACATGAAACTAGGAGTGAAAAAAAAGAGTGAAACTTCCAATCACCAATAACCATACAGGTTTCCCAAGTTTTGGACTGACTCCAGTTACGATTAACCAGCTTTCACAAGCTGTGTTTTTTGTTTTAGTGGGCAGGTAGCTCATACTATCAGTAATATGTGCTACATACATTACTGCAGCATTTTATTTGCATTATCATTCGAAGATGTTCAATTTTTTAATCTTTAATGGTACCAATAATAAAAGGTAATGATTGAAAATTGGAAGAAAAAAAATACTCAACATATATCAGGACCAACTTATGGTATCATCAGAATGGAACCCTGTTGTAAGCTGGGGAATACCTGTATGTGTCCATAGGAAGGATATGAAATGCCAAAAATAACTTTAATACCTTTAAATAAACTGAGATCTTTTAATAATCCAGGTCCAAATAGCCCTTCAAAAATACTTTCAAATCCTGAAAGAATAAGAAAAAAAATCCATTATCACAATATATACGTTAGTAACTTAATATTAATATGTTGGGGGGGGGGCTTCGCCTCCACCCAAGTGTTCACAAACTGTCTTAAACAGTACCTACTCCGCAAGAGGTTTATTTAATCTGCCTCAAAATTTTTACAGCCTTCTGGGACTATAGTGTTTTTCTGAGTATCGATCAAGATCATATACCTTTTCAAGCTATATTTCTTGAGGAAGGAAAGCCATCAATCACCAAAAACAACTTCAATACCACTAAGCAAAATGCCACAACACAATCATATTAAAAGAGGTTTTGTAGTTATTTTAGTTCCACAATACTACTTTCATTAAGACAATGGCCACTATAGTCAGAGAGTGGGCTGCCAGTATTTCAAATATGAACAGGGTCACCCAAAGTGAGTATGGTTTCGGTGGAGTTTCTAGACTAAGACAAATTGAAGAGAAGAATCTTGTGGTCTACTTCTGAGGGAAGTGGAATGCTGTCTGATAGTGGAAGACAAATGAGCCCTTCCGGCTGGAAGGCACACAAAATATGACTGTTTAAGTTTCTTCCTCAAAGTTGAATCTACCTTAATGACATGGAATGGATTAAAGTTTTAAGACATCCGTGTGCTGGTATAAACAACTCGGGGTGGGTGGGGAAGTGAGGGGAAACAAATGGGAGCTGACATCAGGGGCTCAAGTGGGAAGAGAATGCTTTGAGATTGATGATGCGACATTATGTGAAAATGTGCTTGACACACTGGATGAATGTATGGATTGTGATAAAAGATGTAAGAGCCCCAATAAAAGGGGGGGGGGAGAACATGTCAAAAAACAAACGTTTTGTCACTTTAACAGAAATGTAATTTCTTGATACCAACGATCTAAAAATCTCATACACTGACCCATCAAACATTAGCAGTGGCAGATTACACTTTAAATAAACATTTTAGCTTTCAAAAAAAAAGAAACTCAAAATGGAAAGGGGTGGGGGGAGCTGCAAACATCTATTAACAATCAGTACATGGAATGTACAAGTAAGAACCTAGGAAAACTGGAATAAAAAATAAAACCAGCACATAAAAGATACTGAAAACTAATGAGCTGATTAGCTGATATTGGTTATTCTGAATTAGACGAATGACTGTGCTGGAAATGATAAACTGAAGTCACTTTGTCTCCCCCCATCCACCAAAAAAATCCTAGATCTATCCTGAAACATAATGCAGTCAGTCTTGAAATACCATACTCCTACAAGAAAGAGCAGTAAAAACTGTTTCAAATTTACTCACCAATTGTTAAAAACAATGTATGTAACTGGCAAATTTTACCAATGTGTATGTGCAGTCTGAAATTGACCAAACATGAAATCAAAATGCATTGATAATTACTAGTGATTGGAAAGGAGAAGTTAGAGATGAGTTAAAAATCAGCAATTGATAATGCAAATAGTATACCGGTAATAAAAAGAATATAACATTTTGCAAGATTGATAATTTATTCATTGCAAATATTTTTTTCATTAATATAAACTGTTGACTACACATGAACCTCATGTGATAGAATACATAGAAATCAAATTACGACATCTGTAGTGATAATGAAGGCGGTCCAATGTCATCCCTCAGAACAAGGCTAAGGGTCAACTTCAGAAAAGACCAGCAATTGCTTATAAGCAAGTTCAGGTTGCAAATGAGAAACTTTAAAACAAGTTCGCATGAGTCAAACCAAAATATCTTGAGTAAATCTTCTATCTTGAGTAAATCTCATATGAAACCATATCAAGAATAGATTTGATGCACTGAATATTAATGACCAAAGTAGAAGAGTGGCTGGATGATGCATCAAGGATATCATATATTATGGGAAAGGTCACTAAAAGGCAGTTTAAAAAGAAGAGCCCAAAATGGGAGTCAGAAGAGACTTTGAAGCTTGCTATAAATACACAATTACTGAAATGAAAGGAAAAAATGATGACATAAAAGAGCTAGATGATTTCAACAGATAGCTTGAGAAGAGAAAAAGTAAACTATTATAATGAACTGTGTATAGATATGTGTAAGAAAACCAGAAGGTAGGAAAACACTTGGCATTTCTCAGGCTTGGAAAATATTCAAGCACCAGTTGCAATATTAAATAATCCCTCCCGCCCCCTTGGTTTAAAGTTTATTTATTTTTTAAAATAATTTTATTGGGAGCTCTTACAGCTCTTATAACTTTCCATACATTAATTGTATCTAGCATATTTGGGTGTTCCCATCAACATTTTCTAAACATTTACTTTCTAATTGAGCCCTAATACTGAATAATTCTATGAACAAAATATTAAATGATACAGAAGGCATCAAAAGACGACGCAAGGAATACAGAGTCCCTGTACCAAAATGAACTGGTCTATGTTCAGCCATTTCAGGAGGTAGCTTACGATCAAGAGCCAATGGCACTGAAGGAAAAAGTCCAAGTTGCACTGAAGTCAATGGTGAAAAACAAAGCTCCAAGTATTGACCAAATACCAATGGAGATATTTCAACAAATGAATGACTGCTAGGAGCATACACTAATCTATGCTAAGAAATTTGGAAGACAGATGTCTGGTCAACCAATTGTAAAGATATATGGATACATGCTCATTTAAAAGAAAAGTAACCCATAAGAACACAAATTATCAAGCAAAACATTGATACTATATGTATGTAAAATTATAAAGATAACTTAAAAATGGTTACAACAGTACAATAACATGGAACTGCCAGCAATACAAGCCAGATGCACAAGAAAACATGGAACAGAAAATCTCATTGTGATGTCAGATGGATCTGTGCTAATAGCAGAGAATAGCACCAGAAAGATATTTACCTGTGTTTTCCTCACTATGGACCACGACAAATTATGGACAACACTATGAAGAACGGGTATTACAGAACACTACCGTGTATATACTCGCGTATAAGCCGAGTTTTCCAGCACATTTTTAAAGCAGTTTTGTGGTAAAATGAGGTGCCTCGACAGATATTCGGGCTGGTTTATACTCAAGTATATGCGGTAATTGTGCTCATACTGAACCTGTAAATAATTCAAAAAGCAATTGTTTGAACAGCATATAAGAAAGGTATGTCAGGGTTGTACCCTTTCACCATATTTAATTGATCTTTATGCTGAGTAAATAATCCCAGAATGTGGACTATACGAAGAAGTATATCAGGATTGGAAGACTCATTTAAAACCTGCAATATGTATATGACACAAGCTTGCTTACAAAAAGTGAAGAAGACTTGAAATACTGACAGAGATCAATGACTACAGTCTTTGGTACATATTATACCTCAACATCAATAAAATAAAAATTCTCACAACTGGACCAATAAATGACATCATGATACACTGAATACTCTAGTTGTCAGAGATTTCATTTTATTTGGATTGATAACTAACATCTATGGAAGCAGCAGTCAAGAAGTTAAATTGCACTGTGAAAACCTAGTACGATAGACCTCTTTAACATGTTAAACAGCAAAGATGTCATTTTGAAGACTAAGGTGTGCCTGAACCAAGTTATGGTATTTTACTTCAATCACCTTATATGTATGCAAAGGATATGCAGTGAATAAGGAAAATTGAAAACTTGAGGTCTTTGAATTACATCACGTCGTTGGTGGAAAATGTTGAATATAACATTGACTTCCAGAAAAATAAATCTCTCTCCGGAAAAAAGTATAGCCAGAACGCTCCTTAGAAACAAGGACTTCGAAAAAAAAGAGAAAGAAAATAAACAAAGACTTCATCTCAGGTACTTTGGATATGTCATCAGGAGGGTTCAGTTTCTCTAGATCAGGGGTGTCAAATTGGTGGCCCCCGAGTTAATTTTTTGTGGCCCGTGATGCTCTGAAATAAAATGAAAATAGAAAAAATTGTTATGAGGAAAATAGCACTTATGGGAGATCGCAGCAATGCAGTACACACAATTCCCTCGTTAACCCTTTAAGTACTGAAGACGAGTATACACGTGGCCCAGTGCCTTTCCTGGGGGCCTGTGGACGTGTATAAACACGCAGATTCAGTTCCAGCAACGTTTGGAAGCAATATGTCTGCCACTCTCAGTGTCACGTAATGTAAACAGATTCCAATAGCGAAAAGGTTAAAAAGAGCACTCTGGGTTCTGCTGTTATGAATCATACCTAGGGGCAGCGTTAGTTAACATTTTTAGGGAGAAGCCATTACGATTGTGCATCACGTTTGTCAGCTGTCCAACATTTTGTGTTTTTTATTAGTTACTTTGTTATATTTTCGGGTCACAACATAAAAGGTAAGTAAAAACTAGTAGGAGAAAAGCGCTGGCATATTTTGGGTAAAAAAGAATAATTTTAGTTTCATAAATACGTTAAATGTTTAAATAAAAGCAATTATATCGTGTTTTAATTATCCTATCCATATTCCTGAATCCTCACTTCAAAATACAAATTAAACAAAATTTGTAGATGTGATGTGACCCGCATGAATCTGGCCTGTTGCACCAAATGGCCCATGTTTTAATTGCGTTTGACACCCCTGCTCTAGAGAAACACTTTGTGCTTGGTGTACCAGAATAGCCTCACAGGTAGTTCTTACCCTGAGAAACAAACCTACTAGTTTCACCTGGACTTACATGAAATTATAACGAATTCCAAGCCTGCATACTAAGCACAATTCTTTAAAAGGAAACAGTGTAAACATAGCAATCATTATGAGGATGATGCAAAACTGGATAGTTTTATGCTGTTGTACAAAGGGTCACTATGAGTTACTGATTTGACAGGCTTAACAGACATAATAAGAGCAGTGGTTCCCAGTTAAACTAGTCATGGACTTCACTGGAGTTCAACTAGTCAACCTGAAAGATTTGTGAATCTGTATGTTCTCTAACTATAATCTTTAGAAATAATTATATCATCTCTCAAAATATACAAGGGAGCATCAAATAAGTCGTGAAAAACTGTTATTAAAAGATAACGAAAAAAT